TAAAGAAACAACCCAACCTGAAAAGACCCCAGAACTATTTTCTGTTCACAGGAATGAAAAAATTACCTTATCTGGATGAACTAGGAGTGCCTGCCTTTTATAATAATGCTTAATTTCCTCATCAGTACAGTCCGCTCTCAAACCAAGGATTGTGTAGGCGTCCCTACTCTTGCAGCGCAGCAGTCTATTTAGCGTCTCATCGCCTGGTATATAAAATTTTCATTGCATATCAAATTTCAGTTCTAGCATTAAATGATACTAGCTACCGATTCACTTTATTTATGCTTATTCAAATAAAGTAAAAGTAAAACGGCAGAAACTCTGCACCACAAGCAAAAAGACATATTATCAAGTGAATGGTATGGGCAAAATCTCTGCTTACCAGTAAGAGGTAAGCTGATGTCACAATCAAGGCCCCATACAACCGCCTCACCGGCACTGTCTTGAAAAAAATAATCCAGAAGATCAGTTTTAAAACCAACAATGTTACCCCATAAAGAGCTAAAATATAGTTCATTCCGCCACAAAAATACCAGAAAGAATGAAAGAAAACCGGTACAATCATGAAATCTCCGGATGACTTAAGACTACATCAGCAAAACTAACTGACAGAAAACAAAATAAAAAACAGTTTAACAATACAGTTAAACAATGCTTCGAACTTCAACAAATTTTTGACGTCCAGAAAATTAAAATAGAACAGCAAAGCCGATTTGTACCTCAACAAAATGCAGCAAACAGCTACAAAAATCGAAAATCAATCTTTAAGAATTCTGAAAATGAAGTAATAAAAGTCAGACACAACAAAACCATACCTGACTTTCGCCAAAACCAAATACCATGAATGTCGACAACAGCTGGTAAAAGTGTGATAAGATTTCAGTGTCCTGAAAATAATCCTATCACTGCCAAAAAGATATCTAAATATGAACTTGCTACAATATCTTTTGAACAGTTTTAAAGCTGCAAAAAAGTGAAACTAATTAGAGCCCCCATGTAGATTAAAAAAAAAAAAAAAGAAGTGGGAATCCTTCAGCCTAAACAAGGCACCAGATGTTTCAAAAGTTTCTACTAGGAAAAATTAGAAAACCTGTTCTTCCGTCAGCTAATTCTCCCCTATGTTCAAAATCGTACAAAGCCTTCCAGTGACAACAACTTACAAGAAGTCAAATAAATTTTCTTCAATCGGCTCAAATTCAGGTAAACAACTTTCAAGAGTGTTTTGAAGCTTCCCGATACTTTCTGCTCTCCAATTCGGTACTACCCAAACCCTCTTCATTTTTTTTGAACATAGTTCCTACCTATGTTATACTTCTCGTGGAAAGTTTTCTCACAATCTTAAAAACCGAATGTGTCTCCTTCTAAATTAATCTTCTGCTCATGCTATCTCTAACTAGCGCATTTATCATGAGATCTAGCATTTTCCGGCAAACAATAACCCTTTCTTTTTCAGTCTTCCGGACTAGCAAAAATTTCTGCTAAGTATGACCTTAACTTGAAAAATCTCTCAAGGGCAATTGCGAATTCAGCGGTAAAACTAGAAAATGTCTAAGATGCGTAGTTAACTGCTTGATCATTTGTTGCAGCGCTCTATGTCCCTCTTCCCCAACTCTTGTATCCCTGCATAAGATTATAACAGAAAGTATTTTAAAAAGCTATGGCAAATATATCAAGAACTTACACATAAACAGCGACATCCCTTGACTGATAAGAAATGTCTATAATTAAGTTAACAATCCATTTCGCAGCCTCTTTAACGAAGAGAAATGTAGTCAAAAACACGCAGCCTGAACAAAAACCAATAACACACATAACATTTTCAAGCAGCAAAATTAAACTCACGTATGTAGTCCATAACTGTTGCATTGCGCCTTCGTACTCCGTTTCGCTGTTTACGAGAAGCAAAACGAGGAGTTTCAAAAACAGAACGGTCTGCAGAATCACGGCGCAAACCGAAGACGGTTTTCTTTAACGCTGAAAAAATCTACCTTTATTTTTTATATGACTGCTTGGTTTAAGATTAATGCAAAGCAAATTTAGTCAATACCAGCACGCTGCAAAAGCCCGCCAACCGCAGCAGAGAGAACAGCAGAATCACGACTTTTTCCAGGAGAGTTACTTACAGAAATGTCTTTTTGTCTCTTATTGCGGGACGACAAGTCTAGAGTAAGCGGAAATGAAGAATCAATTATGAACCAATATGAATAAATCAAAGAAATATTTTGAATACTCCATACCAATTTTAGTCGAATGTTCATTGACAACCTTTGCCGTCGTGTTCGTTTTTGACTTGTGGCTTTTGTGTAAACCCACAGAAACGACAGAAGAAGTACGTGAGGTGTTGCTTTTTACCTGATTACTCAGAGACTGCAGAACATCGAAACGACTTGAAGCATCGACAGTTTGATAATTTCCAAACACTAAAAAAAAAAAAAACAAATGTCAAACTGATGTAAACAAGTGCAGAGAATGCAGGAACGTTGAGGAAATTTAAATTTTTGCTTCATCGCGAAAAATCAACCTTCTTCGCCACCAAGGTTTGATTCTCTATTACTCTTAGAACCTTTAGTCTTCTTTCTTGTTATTTTTTGGAACTCATTCTCGTTAGAACTCCTGAGTGCGGTTGATCCTGCAATAAACTAATTCTTATAAACCATTTCCATCTGAACTTACTCGACCACACAGAAATCTCAAGATACTATGCAGCAGAAATGAATAGCGCATATTCTCCTCACTAGATTTTCTTATCGTGCTTAGTACTGGCGAAGGATTCCCTGTCGTAACCACAGTCTTTTTCGAAATTTCCGATGCTGGTTTATTAACAGCAACTGTTGCCGACTTAGCCGTTCTAGATGACAATTCTTGACCACCACGACGGCACTTCTTAAGTTCATCTTAAATTTGGTTATGATTTTAACATACAAATATTTGAGAAAATTTTTTTAGTTACTGTTTGTTATTAGACGTACAAAAGTTTGCAATTTCATTAGTCTGTAGAAAGTTGTGCTTAAACAGTTCTAATCAGTACTTTATATCCCTACCTAGTTTTTTAACGAAATGCAGTCATCAGAGTATCACTTACATGACCCTAAAGGTGTTGAAAACGAAGGTGTTACATATGCCGCTGAACCAGTCCGCTTTTTTTCAGATGCAGCATCCCTATAGCTTTTACCACCTAACGGAAAACATGCAGTTGGATCAATTAAGGATGGTGGCACAGACGGTACTACTTCGGGACTTTTTCTTGAAACAGAATATACAGTGGACTAATTTCTACTTGGCACTCCTCAACTTTCAGCAATTACTTCATAATCCTTATTATAGAAATGCTTGTTGTGCTACAATCGAGAAGTTAGAAAAGAATTTTAAAAAAATTGTCCACAGCTTGAAAATCACTCTAATTTAAAAGTAAATAAGAAATTCAACTCATGTGTAAGCAATAATTATCTCTAGACAACGACTATGTAGGCATAGAAAATTCTTCAGAAAACTTACGGGTGTATGATGACATTTTCTTTCCTGAAATACTCGCCAGAAGTTAACTGAGCAGAAGGATCTACTTTAAGCCCATCAGTTGGATTAAAAGAAGGATAGGGCCCTCCAAAACAAGTATTTCTCGGTTGAAAAGAATCTGGTGTTACATAACGACCTCCATAATGGTGCTAAAACTTCAGTAAAATTGGTACCTGCAGAAACAATTAGCTATAACAAAACCTGAGATATAGTAAAAAAAAAGGCTCAAAGCATAACGTATTTTCACCAAAAAACGAAAAGTTAACCGTAAATGCAGCATGGGAGCCGTAAGATACATTAGGACGCAATAAAGAGTACCCATCCAAAGAACTACTGCCAAACTCGCTCCATTCCCGAGGCTAAAAAATTTAGATTTTGTGCTTGGAAGCTGAGTACCAGAGATAAGATAAATCAAATTATTTCCTTACCGGCTCCTGAATCCTGTCGTATGAAACTGGCTGATAAAAACCAGGAATTTGATTGCACGAGTTGTGCAGTTGGTTATTATACAAATCAGGAGGTTGGCGGTTTACCGGACACCATTGCGGCGGTCTTAACGAATACGGGCTGTATGGCGGAGGTGGTTCAGGCCAAAATGTAGGATTTGGTGATGGACCTATAGGTCCGCCACCTGGCAGAACACTGCCTACTGGTAGCTGCTGAGAAGTATTTGACTCTAAAATGACGGTTTTTTATAAAAAAGCAATAAACAGATTATTATGAAAAGACGTCAGTTTTCTAAAAAAAGACAGAAAATAAGAAACAGTAAAATGATGAAATTTAAAGTGTGCAGTTGGAACTGATGTTCCAGCACAATTAGTGAACATTGAACTACACTGACGTTTAGTAGGCGGACTAAACGGATCGTCGTCGTATAAAAGATTCCCAATATAGTGCCGTTCTTGCTGATCGTCAATTGTAGAAGACGTATAGCTGGTCATTTAATAATGGCTATACCCATTCCTACTTAAACAAAAATTATTGCCAGATAGGAATAAAAAAATCTAAAAAGCAAGAACAGTACGCAAATTTAACATGAAACGCAAAACTTAATGACAGCCGATTTTAACACTCATACATTGCTGTTATTACGGGAGTCGTTTCTTCCTTAAAATCTTTCATATTCAAGGAAAAAAGTGATGAGTGGACTGCAGTGGAAAAAAAGAACTTGAGTGTTTTAAAAACTGTGCAAACGAATATGTATGAATGTACGAACAGAGAAACAAGTATATATATATATATATATATATATATATATAT